AGGAGGACAATTGATGAAGAGCTAAGAGAAGTCAATTATTTCTGGAATGATATCTGTCGAAAATCAAATAACAGAATCCAATATAAAAGAGGTTCTCTGTTCCACTGAGAGATAAGGAAAAGAGAGAGAGAGAGAGAGAGAGAAAGAGAGTGTTTAAACAAACTAACAGAACTGCTTTTGGTTTTATAATTTACGTTCTTTTCATAAAAATAAAAGAACATAATTTATATACATATAATAATATCGTTATACCGAAGACAATTTTTTTTAAATTTATTAAAAATACAACAAAAATTTCACAACATCTAAACTAATTTTCAAAATATATGAAATTTCAAAATCGCGGAACCTACAATAATTCTTAATATAGAAAATAAAAATACAACAATGCGATAATACCTACAATAACTTTTAATAAATACTTATTAAAAGTATAGCAATATTACTATGTCTAGAACATTTTTTAGAGTCTCCAAAATACTTTTTAATAAATATAATATAAAAAAAGACTATTTAGTAATATATAGAACGATAAACAAATATATATTTAGTAATATTCAAATATTATATTTAACAATAAGTTTGTTAACAGTCATGACGAAAGAAACTGTTTTCTTAATATAAACAATTGTTTTCAATAAAGGGTTTTTGAAACAAGAGTAAATTGCAACAACAAAATTTTATTATTTTTTATGAATAAAACTTTTGATTGACCATACAGCGGTTACGGGTACTGCCGAATTCCCAATGGTTTTTTTTATATTATTTCGTATATTTAATTATTAGTAAATAATTTTGAGAGGGTATGAGTTCAACCCTTAGTACTTGCAGTCTCTTTTTACACTTCATTTACAAATAATTGAAAATAAGAAATATTTCAAAAAGACCGCTGATAATGGGTATGTCGCAACACACGAAGATAAGTATTATCAGCTAAAAATTTCAGTAATTAAAAATAATATAATTTTGTTGTTGCAATTCACTACTATTCGAGAAACCTCTATACTACAAATATCTATAATATTTATATAATAATATTTATAAATAAAATAATATATAACAATATCATAACATCAGGCATATTTTATTCTATTTTTTGTTTCTTTTCTAATTTATTACTATTATTTATTATGGATTCAAAGAAATTACACTTACACATATTTTATAGTATGTATAAAAAATACGACTATATCCATTAACACCGTAAACAATATTTAGAAAATGAATCGAAAATAAAATAATATAAAAATATCTGCAATAATTGGCAATAAATGTAATGAATACACACAATAAGAATTCTAGTAATAATTTTTAATAAAAATATTAATAATAAAATAATAATAAAATATGGCAATTCTTTTTAATAAAAACTCCTTAACGGTCTGTAATATATTTGATATGCTTGGACATATCAAAGTACTTGCTTTCAATAAACAAACCTTCTGATTGTCTCGGAACCTACCTCAGTGTTGACAACTTTAAGATCAAAAAGCGTGAACAGTAAAAGGAATGGAATAAACACAAAATATGTCGTACGCCCAGAAATTGAACGAAGAACCATTCTTACCAATGTGTATTATTTTGGGCTAAATAGATATTTTAGAAATAAAGCTGTGCCTCATATCATGCCTATTCTATCGAATTAAGCAAAAGCTTGAACAATAATTAATAAAGATGAAGAAGTAGTAGGAATATTTGAAAAAAATTCTTTGGAAGATTTATATGTTTTATGCGGTGATAAGGAGTATCGAAATAAATTGAACGATAGTAGTTGAGCGCATAAAACTTTAGCAAATTCACTGGCTAATTAATGTTGTTCGAATGGCTGAAAATGCGCCATCTAAAAACGTGTTTCATTTGATACCCATTGACATAAAAACCCGTAGTGCATATTTGGATTATCGGTGGAAGGTCCAGATGACCACCAATATGAAAGCACTCAGTATTAAAAAACTTGTAAAAGCAAGCCACTATTCAGGCTAACTGGTTACAACTACTGTACACAGGCAAGAGTGACTTGCGTTAAATAAGTCGATCTTGATCGCTTATTTATTTATTTTCTATATATGTATAGAAAAGAAAAGTCAGACAATTAGACCTGACGATCGCAGTGTCATATCCCATATGAATAATATTGTATTATTATATTTAATTATATACAATAAATTATTATATTTAATATATAATTATAATTTTTTTATTTATTTCAATATTTTTGTTTTTCTTTATAACAGAGTCACTGCGCTACAAAATCCTTTTAGATTAATTATAAAAGATCTGCAAATAGCTGACGAGGATATATATCTATGTGATACGACATTTTTTATACCAGTTGAAACGTGTGATAATTTCAATGGCTACCGTGTAGAATTGAATGTCTTAGGTAAGTCCTTTCAATACCAAATTTTTGTATAATTTTTTTCTCAATTTTATTTTACTGCATGCTTTTTAATTAAATTTAATTAATTATTAATTATAATTTGCTTTTCTGTTGCTTTAAATAATTAAACAAAGAACTGATTTAAAAGTACTTCAAACAATATAAATTCAATGCAAATGCTTATTAATGTTTATCCTAAAAAGAAAATTTGTTATTAATCCTGGAAAAACTATGCATGTTATTTGCTTTTCATGTTTGCGTATGAAAATATTTTGCATGCACATTTAAATTAACCGACCTAAGCGACCCCCATTACTCTTCGGTTATATTTTTTTTTTTTTCAAGCGATTTCTGTTGTTATTAATGTTTTGCTTTATATGTTGTAAAATTGCTTCGTCATGTCTATTGAGGAATAATGCAGCCCCAAGAGAACTCATCAAACTACTAAAGAGCAAAAAATAAAGGAATAATATAACTAGCAAAAATAATTTAAATATTTAAAATTTTATATATAATGTTTGTTCTATTCGTGCATACATAATATAAGAAATACAAGCCATGTATACTCTAACTAGATTCTGATTTCAGATTAGATCTATTGTTTATTATAACTACGTTTATGATTTGCAATATATAAAATTTACTTAAATTCTTATTAAAGTAGATCCTATTGTAAAAAGGATAGTTATGTGAGGACATTCATATTTAAAACATAGTAATAAGAGTCTATTATAGAATAGAGTAGATAGCATGTGATTTCTAGGTAATAACGTACTATTTCCTTAAAATACTGGGATGTGTGGTGTATTTGTTACGTGGAAATAATTGATTAATATCAGTATCAGTTTTTAGTAATGAAAGACATATATTTACATGCTATATTCATTAGCATGTGAAAAAACATATGCTACATTTTTTTTGATCTGGACATAAAGTTTCTTCCCTTCCTGTCTTCTTGTTTGGTTGAAAAAGGTTTTACACCAAATAATCTTAAATCATTATTTTAATTATTATTATAATTATTTGCGTGTGTGTATTCTTCTACTAATTTGAAAAAAATCTTCATACAAAAATCTTTTAACATTCCAAAAAATAGCGTCGACAGCTTTTCCATCGGTTTCGTATCCATAGCTCTTTGCTTCTTAGGTTATTTATTTGTTTTAAATACTTAACGGTAGCCTTATTTAATAAATCTATAATTATTTTTAAAGATTTAAGCCCATTAAGTCTTCTAATTACTAAATCTGTGTATTCTAGCAATACTGTTTTCTGTATTTTTGAACGATTTTTAGATGCAGTTTGAAATAATATTTAAGCAAATTGTCTTCGAGGCCTTTAAGTCTATTTTAGGTGGGGATGTAATTTCAAGAACGTTCTTCAAGTAATCACTTTTAGTCAAACTATTGCTTTTAAAGAAGCAGATCTACTTAATACATTTGGAATATCAGAATGAATTTTGTTTTTTATAAACACTACTATATTATACTCACTACTCGATGTTCAATGAATAATAATTTGATACGTTAGCTTCAAATAGGTACCTAGAACCAATTTGAAGCTAACGTAGACTCTTAGTTTTTTCTATATACACGGTTTTTTCAATGGGCCAATAGGTCTAATTGGTTCCATTAGGAATCGCCAGTATAATTTAACCTAACCTACCTTCAAACACATTCAGAAGAAGAAATAAATTGACAGTTTGAATGAAAAATTTGGCTATATTTTTATAAAAAATAATAATATCAAAATCAAAACCCTTTGGGAACCTAGTATAATAATAATTACATGTACTAATAATGAAGGGTTTAATAATTTATATGTTTCAGACTAAAACTTTTAGGAAATGTAAATAAATTGTTTAAGATGATGACTTCTCTTCACGCATTTCAGTCCATTGTGAATAAAACTATCTGATATGTAAAACTTATACCAATTAATTTGAATACAATTTTTATTCTCGTTATTTTGACTTAACTACCCTACATTTTTTACTGCATCCATTTTATTTTTCATTGCAAATAAAAGTGAATGCCTTTAAACATATGTACGTTTTATTTTATTTTTTCAAAACTTATTTTAAAAAAATTTTTTCATACAAAACTCATGCAAATATTTTTAACTGATTGTACTTTTGATATAAACCCCATTCCTACTGCTCTGCTACAATAAACGCTCGTCAACATCATCATGGATATATATATACAAAATATCAAAAAAAATGTACTCAATTTTGTAAAATTGCAAAAAAAAAACTAAACTAAACACGCCTTCACCACATGCCAAATCTAAATGAATGATTGAATGAAATGTGAACTTTCGACATAACCTAAAAACGCAAAATAAATTTACTAATATAAAAAAATACGCTTAATTAATATAAATTAAACTTTAAAAACCGTTTTTCTAAACAAAAACGTAGAAAACATCGGTAAATTAATAAATATTTAACTTAAATTATTATCAATAATTTTAATTACTAAATAATAAATTAGTTTTGGTTTTAAATTGATTTTAAATAAATAAAATTTTATTTTTAATTTTACACATAAAATTTTTAATTTTTTTATAATTTTAATTTTTTTTTTTGTAAAATAATAATTTTTAATTAATTTAAATATTTTTATAAAATTGTAAAATTTAAATATATTTTAATAAAACAATTCACAATTTTTTACCTTACAAAAACTACACACAAACATAAACACACCACACACTGAATGCATTTCATATAAATTATACATATTCACCACATCCGTCCGCACACATTTACACTATCAAACGTGAACTCACGCATGCACGCATGTAAACTCTATCCGAAAAATAAAACATGCGTGCAATAAACAAAAACAACGATAATGGCAATGGCAATGATGACGACGATGAAAACAACACCCATGGCTCTTACTATGTTATTTGCTGGGATTAGTGCCACCTACGGAAGTTGTGATATTGGATGAGAAAGGCGATCGCCTTGAGAATGGCACGATTGTTGGACCCATGGAAGAGCGTCAAACACTTAAAGCAACATGTGTTGTACGCAATACTCGACCTCAACCAGTTGTTGGCTGGTGGCGGGGAAATAAACGCTTGACGACACGTAAGTAAAAATTAATATTTGAATTTTCTAATTAATATTTTTTTAGTAATAATTAAGCATTACTTATAAATCAAGAAATAAATTAAATGAATATTGAAAAAAAACACCACAGCCAGTTTGAAGAATTTCTTGATAATATACCTATTATAATCATTAGACCATAAATATACAATAATATTTATATAATTTACAGTTTGTGTAAAAATTAATCATCACAAAATGCTTAGTACTTTAATTAAAACTGGTTTTTTATGTTAATATTTAATTACTATATATAGTAATAAAGTACTGATTCGAATATTAGAATGTCAAATTATCGCACATTGAGATCAAATCCAATAAACTGATATAAAGTTTTCCATGTATCACCTATGAACTAATATAGTAAAAATCTCAAAAAGCAATAAGGTAGGGTAGTCTTAGAACAATTTGAGGTCAAACTAGTTAACTCCAATACAATGGACCTTTAAGTTATTTAGGTCTATCGAGCTTGATATTGTTGGCCCATCGTCTGGAGTATACTAGTGCTACATGTGCCATCCACTATTATTATTAAAAGAAGGGATTATGCACTACGACCTAAAAGATGTGTTGTACACCTTACTCGGGTTAGAATGTGTCTCCAAGTCCGATTTCTTTAATGAAAGACAGTATAGAGCCTATCTTTCCTAGTCTTGAATCTATATGATCTCTGAAATATCCTCGTAGTACATGTGCCATATACAGATTAATTTTACAAATCTCACGTTGTCACAGCTTCCTTATTTCCTCGAGTTGGACATAATACTATATATAGTGGATATAGTTAAAGAACTGCAAACTACATTAAAGTCAATTTTCTTTTGCTTACTCTTTAATGATTTATTATTCCGTATCTTCATAAGTCTAATATTTAAAACAAAACATATGTTTGTGACGTAATTTGGACCTCCAGTATTACTGTCTTGGAAGGCCCAAGTAGTATGCAGTCTCGTAAATCTGATACAATTAGTGTACACGCACTTCATTCAGTACTACTGCCTTGAGACCCCAAAGATATGTGCAGTCTCATATATCAATCACGAATAGTGTAGACCCACATGACTGTCCTTCTTGAGACAGCGCTTAAGCATTCGTCTTTTTTCTTCAATTGGCGTTATAAACATATTTCTCACTAGGTCGAAACATTTAGATGTTAATGGACTGAATAATGTAAATATCGTGTTAAAGCTTGTACGGAGTGTCATTCTTTCCGAAACGTTAGTTATCACCTACTCATAGAGAATCAAACATCTCACTTATAACTTTTCTCTTAAATGTTTCTAGTTTGAGTTCAGCTGGAGGCTACAATTATTATGAAAAAACTGATCAGCGGCAGATACCTATCAGTTTGCATTGTTTTCAGATTTGGTTATACGAGTAACTAAATCGATGTATATCCGAAACTCAAATCGAAGTATTTTTCATTTTAAAGCTTATCTGGATCATACCTTTTCATTTCCTTCATGTAAAAATTAAATTTTTATGCTCATTTTCGATTAAAAATTTAAAAGCACATACAATCTTTTTAAGCTCTCCAAATTCTTAAACATCGGGGACTAAGTAACAAAAATTTAGCATAATTAAATTGCTAATAAAATTGAAATATCAATTCATTAAAATTAATTAAAAAATAATCTGTAATGTAAGGCAGCCCCCTAAGTAACAAGCACAGTCCGTCCGTGACTTAAAAATGGTGTAAAAATTTATTGCTGCACCTTATACGCTTTTAATTTACGACTTTAAGTTTCCTCTTCACTGTAATTTACGAATGCAATTTAAAAATGAGTAAAAGAGCCTTTCGCCAAAGTGACGTTTGTGCGTCTGCAGAAAAGGATTTATTTTCCACACGAAATTAAAGGAAGAAAAACTCAGCGAAAAAAGTTGAAACGAATTCATTTCCCAATGAATGAAGCTTATCTCAGTTAAGGATAAATTTAATGTGCAGCAGGTTAAGCAGCAAAACAGTCAAATCACAAAGGAAGCGCAACGACCATGAGTAAGCCGCGCGAGCAGCAGGAGCCGGTAGAGCCAGTCAAGCCAGTGAAGGCAGTGAAGGCGGTGAAGGCGGCGAAGGCGACTATGGAGCATCGTAAAAATGAGGAAATGTAATTTGTTAAAAAATGCTGCTAATAAAATTCCAAATTTTTTTTTCCGAGCTTTTCCATTTTAGAGTTTTATTGTGCAAGCATAAAAAAGTGATTTCATTAAAAATTTTACTTCTAAATTTTCTGCTTATTTTTATGCGGCAAATAAAAATTTAGCAAAATGCAAAATGCAAAATAAAAAAAAAATTTTTTTTACTAGCTACACTTAAAATTTTTTATGCACATACCGAAATTAATTGATTTCTCTGTGATTGAAGAAGAAATATTATTAAAAAATTATATTCTATACTCATGAACTCGTAGGAAGTTAAATAAAAATGTCTGATTTTGCACACTGATTTTAGCATTAGCAGGAAAATGTAGCAAAACTTCCTCTAAGGGGGCACCCTTACTCGGAAGCAACTCAAAATCCACTTGAACGCACAAAAATTAATGCGTCAAAATTGGTCTTGAGTGGCGTTTGCAACGCTGAGATACTTTTTTTTATAAAACCATTAAATCAGTATCGCAATCTTTTCTCACTTGTTTACTTTTGCGAGGATTTTACTTTTTTTTCCAATTTTCAAACTTCTTTTTTAGCCCTTTTGCTTAATTTATTACCTCTTAACAGTGAAGCACTTTTCTTATGAGTCTTCTTCAACCCTTCTTCTAACGTTCTCAGCGCACATCTCTTTGTTGCTGTTGTTGTTTGCAGTCCTTCGGAAAGGATAAACACAGTGCGTTCTGTGGAAGACGTTGGCAGTTTCTGTTAGTAATTGACTTAATTTGATGTTGGAAGAAAAAAAACGGCTAAGGCTGTCAAGGAATTGAGACTTAAAGTTGATATCTTCTTTTTCTGCGCCTTCTTTGCTTTAAAGTCAAATATTAATGATAAAAATAATGAAAATTACGTTAAAATTAGTATTTCACTGATAAGCGCACATTAAATGTAAAGCCCATTAACGACCCTTAAATGGAGCATACGATAAAAACTCTGATTTGATGATGTTGTGAGAGTGGAAATTATTTATGGCATTTATATTAGACTAAGACTTTAAAGAAAGTTTTGGTTTTATGCTACAATACGATTTTTTATGAAATTTAATAAAAACTTGTCAGTAATTATTATTATATATAAAATAAATAATATACACAGATTATATACATCATAAAATTATTATCCTATATGATGTCTTTTTAACAGAATCCAATAAAAAATTTATGTATATTTATAGAATGTCTTTAACTCTTGCAAATTTCAAGTTCGCACAAAAAAACCAAACTCATTAATATAACTATTCTTATACTGAACCAAATATTAAATTATTTTTTTATTAAGGTATTATAAACACCATACGGCACCTAACACGCAATATATGTGCCCTACTTATTTACTTATAAAGTACTAACTTACTCAGTTGACCATAAAAACACATACCCAAGTCTTGACCTCATGAATCACTTCAATTTAGATCTCTTCATTTTGTGTCTGCCTCTCCTACTCTCGTACATTAAGTTTGGATTTTGAGTCCTCAACTTGATTATTTTACAGCGGATAGTGCGCCCTTAGTGTAATCATTCTATTGGAGATGAAGTCTTTTATATGTGGTTATAGTATCAGCACTACTTTCTAATAAAATTCAATCGTTTTGAAATTTTTTGTGGGACGTGTATTCTCCGAATTTAAGATTAAAGTAAAGTTTTTTTTCAAAATAAGATTGAATAGCATGAAATAAAATAACGTTAAATAAAAAAGAAATAATAGAATGAACAATAAAATAGAATAATATAAAATACCACAAAATAGAATAAAACAAAACACAATTAAATAAAATCATATAAAAAAATTATATAAAAATAATAATACGCAATAAAATAAAATAAAATGAAGTAATAAATAAGATAAAACAAAAAGAAATAATAAATAAAACGAAATAAAATACAATTTAATTTAAAATAAAATAAAATAAAGTTATAAAATAGAGAGTAGAAATATATAAATAAGTTATATAAGTTATATAAGTTATATAAAATAAGTTATATAAAATCAAAACAATATATTTTATATTTTATACATATTATACATATTTTATAGATAAAGCAAAATAATAGAAAATAAAATAATAAAATATAAGCTTTAAATAAATATAAATAAAGTATAGAGTAGAAATATATAAATAAGTTATATAAAATCAAAAAAATATAAAATAAGATAAAGCAAAATATAATAAAATATAAGCTATACATAAATATAAATAAGTAAAATAAATTAAAAAACAAAATGAATAAAATAAAATTAAACAGATTAAAATAAATTAAAATGAAATACTATACAAAAAAGTAAAATAAAATAAAATAATGTGATATGAATAAGCAAAATAGAATAAAAAATAAAATAAAATCAAATACTAAAATATAAAATAAATGAAAAGAAAAAATAAAAGAAAGAAGTGAAATAATATAAAACTAAATAAAACAAATTTAAATAATTTGAAATAATATAAAAAAAACTTAAGTACAAAAAAATAAAGTAAAATAAAACGCAATATAATAAAAATAACATATAAAATATAAATAAATATTAATAAGTAAAATAATAAAAATAAACAAAAATAAAATAAAATAAAATAAAATCAAATAATAAAATATAAAGTATAAATAACTAATAAATGACTAAAATAAATAATATAAAAAAAATTAATATAATAATGTAACAAAAATAAGATAATAATATAAAATATATAAAAATTTTATATAACTAAAATATATAATATAAAAATATTAAATAAAATAAAATGAAATAAAATAAAATAATATAGTGTAGTAAAAAAATAAATATATAAAAATAAATGAAATAAAATTAATGAAAAAAAAATATAACACAAATTAATTTAAAAAAAGAAAGGAAATAATATAAATAAGTAAATATAAACAAGCACACTAAAATTAAAAATACTTAAATAAAACAAAACAAAATAAAATGAAATACAAAAACTAAATAAAATAAAATAAAGTAAAAAGTAAAATAAAACGTCTAATAAAATAAAGTGAAATAAGCTAGTAAAAAGAAAACTATGTTATGTTAATACCATAAATTAATGAGTATTTAATTATTTGAAATTAAATAAATAAACAGATCAAACGGCGTGAGAAACAATAAAAAACATAAGTTGTGTTCTTTTCAAAACTAAAATAGAACACAGAGTACGTTCAAATAAAGCACAACCCCTAGGTTAAGTTAGGTTACGGGGACCATCCGAAGACTCACTTAGACCATGAGGCCCATTGTGATACCCTAAAAGTACAACCCCTAATTTGTACAGGAATTTGTAGTCCTTAGTTTTTCAGGTCAGGTAAACTCAACCCGATTTTCAAAATAAAATGAAAGAAACGTATTCAGACTTAATACTAAATGGAGAGAAGATTAGGGAAAAAGAAACGTTCAGACCACATACATACTTGTAATGAATTGCGTTAAAAAAAGCAATGATTCAATAACAAAATATATTGTACAACCTATTTACTTATTAGTATGGTATATAATGTGTTGTTCTGTAGTGGCTACTAGTCACTAATAGTAGCATCAGCAATTGAAATATTTCAAACACAATAAGTTAATAAATAATATGGCAATATGTCTAGTTGACCCACTCACATAGTCCCTACAGATCCATTATTATTATTTTACTTTAATAACAAACCCAGTTAAAGTTAAAACTAAAGAGCTAAGTCAAAAGACTCTGATATGGAGCACATGTGACATAACGTACTCCAGAAGAACAAAACCTTGTCGCAAATTGTGCCGGAGATGTGTAGTTCATATTTTTTCAACAGAAGTGGACCTGATGCCAATAAAAATAAATATAATAAATAATATAATAAATAAAATATATTAAATATATATATTTATATACAATATTTTAAAAAAAATAAAAATAAATAAAAAAAAAACTTAATTGAATTTGTTTTAACGTTTTGGTTATGTTTACAGATTCCCCCTCCTATGATGAGAAGGATGGTTTGTTCACAGCAACTTTAGAATTAAATTTGCAATTATCACGTGAAGATTTAGGACATGATATTGAGTGTCGTGTTGAGAGCGCTGCTGTTCCAAATGCCATCAAAAATCAATTTAGCGTGGATATGCAAGGTAAATTACATCTTATAACTTAAAATAGTATTATGCGCAATACAAATAATTAAATTTTAGTTTAAATATAACACAAAATTATTACTGTGATAATTATTGTGTATCAAAAGAAATAATTAAAACTAATGTTTTCCATTAATTTTCTCTAAAGAGCGATTTATTATTATTATTTATTTTGTTCGATACCCATAAAAAATATTTTGTAGAGAAAAATGAATATAAAAATAAAGTAAAAAAAAATGATTTTAATCATTGATATTGAAATGGCTTTTATATACTTTCCCAACCAGAAAGGTTGACAAAGGATATAAAATGACAACTAAAGCCATAGCTAAAAAAAGGCAACAATCACATAGTAAAATAGAAATTGATTGATCGTTGCACAATGCAATCGTTTAGCAATTTACATTTTTTGTAACGCAACTATTATCCTTTCTTATCCTTTTTAAATACACTGTGTTTTTTTATTTTATTTTTTTATTTTTGTTTTTTTTTTAAACGCAGAAATTAAATTGCTGTTATTAATTATTAAGCACATAAAAGACGCTATAACAGCTCGCTACCTACCTACATATCCTTTATTTGACAATTTGTCATTCCTTGTTACCCTTTTCTGTTGGGTATCCTTTTTAAAATTTCTTTTCCTGCTATTCAATTTTCTAAATTTATATTTCTATTTTGTCATTTCAGTGCGTCCCACTAGCATAACAATCAATGGAGTTGAACATCATACGGTACAGGGCAGCAAAGTAGTGTTGACATGTGACGTAAGTACTGAAAATTGTCTTCCAACTATATCCCCCTCATATGTATATATGTATATATATACATTCCTTTTTTTGGAATTTTAAGCTTAAAATGTTTTTAGTTCCTTGTGCTTTTAACCTCCAGCAGCAGCTAAACATAACAGGACATATGTTGTTGTTCTTGTTATCCTTGTTGCAGGTAAAATCGAATCGTTTGAATGATTTTCTTTGTTACGTTTAGTCTTTGCCCTGCAAAATAATTGACAATAATTAACTGCCAATTATTTTCTAAAGTCAACCTAATGTCTACGTTGAAGTGAGTTCCTAACAGTGTTTAGATATATTCGTATGTGTATCTGTTGGCAATTTGAAATACATTTTATACAGTGTTTGTAATGAAAAGTTACTGCCAAATTGTATTTTAATGAAATTTTCATTTTTAGCATTTTTAACATTGACTACAATATTGACTACCTTATAACTGTACTAACAGTAAGATAGATTCTAGTAAATATAAAATTTGCTTGTTATGTATTTATGTACAACAAAATTACAACAACACCAACAACTACAAGTTACACTGGAAAAATGTTCACGTTTGTGGAGCAGAACAAATTGCATGTTCATACATGGAAATTACATTAAATTGTGGCACACTGCAATTTTAATGGGTTTTTTGTTGAATTGTTAGAAGTTAAGTAATGGAATTTTAATTAAGTTTTTGTGCATTTTAATTTCTGTAAGCCATAACAAGCCGTCAATAATTTTTTCAGAATGGAATTTATTAGTTAGTCAGTATGACAAAAACAACTTATAATGTCACGTGACAGTAAGAGATGGATTTGATTTAAAAGGTTATATTAGTGTTAACAAAGGACTCTTCAATACTCTTCAGAGTAGACTCATCAGACTTTTCAGATGTGGAGTCAGTATCACGCCAAAAACGAATTCAAAATTTTTATAATATAAAAAAAATTAATTTAGTATTAGCAGATGTAGAAAATTTATAATAATAATTAAATGAAATCAATTCAGTGAAGCATTGACCCCAAAATTTCATTAGTCGTCAAACAGTACCCTAAAGCATACTATGGCCTATAATTGCAAAGTTAGAATATTATTAAAAAATTCATACTAACAATATTAACTTTTTATAGACAACAACACATTCCAGATGTCTAAAAAATAACTATTTATACATTCCATCTCATTTGAAATGATAGCGAGGGCGCTAAGTACAAAAAGAATTGATTTCATGACATCCAAATAGAAGGAAAAGTATTTTACATCAGCAGTAGTGACATCTATTGTTATGGTTCATGGTATAGAATGGAATTGCAACAAATTTCTTAAATCTATTACTTCCCAATAATATTGTCTTCAATATTTGTTCAATATGACTTGTCAAGTCATTAAGTAAAAACTTATGAATTCCGTTGAAGGTGACTTCCACTACAAAAAGAAGATAACCCGAAAAACAAATTTAAAACAACAAACCGAACTGTGATGAAATTAAAAGAATATCATCGAATAGAAATAGATTTACTTTAATTAAATTTTGGTTAGTTACAGTCAATAGATATAGATATAGTATTTCCTTTCTATAGTTGAGTATATCCAAACCTTTCGATAGCTATAGTTTCTGACCATCATAGCTGTAGTATGTATTAAAGGCATGGATTGGAAAAGACTTGTATGCATTATAAAAGCGATGGGACAATATAACACACTTTGCGTCTCTGTATAGACAAAATATTAGAGTTAAATATTCTCATTTTAGTACCACATGTTAAGATTAAGGATGTTTTAAAAGATGCCGTAATACATACTAAATATTTTTTAATTCTTTTATGTAATTTTTTCGATCCTATAGCAAAATCTAGACTATTATTTGTTGGTGTTGAGTTTAGTAAAATATATTGATTCATCACAACCTCATCTTCACTGCAGATGTCATCATCAATATTGATTCCTAAGCTTTTAACAAGATTCCAAGAAGCGGATGTCAACTGCTTGGGCTATGAAAACCAAAACGTTAGTGCTTGGTGAACTCAGACAAAGGGTCTTTAGGATATAGGCTTATGGTACAGATCTAAACGATTGAACATAACCCTACCAAAACCATAATCGTTTCAACTTCCAATATGAAATGAAGCTCAACTCATTAGTGAAGTCATCAAATTCAAACTAATGTTAAGAAAATTGTATTCCACTCTTTATTTGGATGATTGGTTCTTCAATCAATCATGTTAAAAATGACATCACTCAAAACTGAAACAGTCTTAACCAAAAAATATAGATCAAAAAGATAAATTGGCATAATTGTGACAAAAAGAACCTATTCCATAGTAGTTTTAAGAGTAGTGTTAAACTTCTTTCCGCTATGTATGATAGTATGAGAAATAGTTCACGAAATTGCCATCAATATAGGAAGAAACGAAAGAAAAGCTAAAGCTTTAACAGAACTCTGAAACTTGTGAAATCAATTCGTCAACTTTTCGCTAGACTATGAACAACACAAGGAGAGGCATCTTTAGATTTTAGAAACAATTCTTATTGAAACTAAGTATCAAATAGCAATTAAATTAAATTTTGTAAATATGATATTGGAATAGGAATATAAGTCCCTGAACCATACCTGCAAAATACTTGAGAAAGGATCCAACTATTTTTCAAGTTGAAATTTACGCACGCAAAAGTTGTAAACAAAATTATATAAAATTCTTGTAAATTATTGCATTGTATTCCAGCCATTGTTAATACTAAAATATTTTTAATAATAATTTTTCCTATTTAAATTTTCCACTTAAATTTTTAAAATTTTTTTAAATAGGTTGATGTTTATTTAAAAGGGCTTTAAGTAATTGGGTGCCTTTTAAAATATATATCTATTTATCTATAATACATTACTTATGAATTGGTAATTAAATTTTTTCATAATATTACAGATTCATGGTGCTCGCCCACCAGTTAATCTAACTTGGTACAATTCAACAGGAACAATAAGCCCTGAAGAAAATGATTTAACCGAAATCAGAACTAAAGCAGTAAGTATATTATCCTAGAATAATAATCTGAATAACTCATATAAACAAATTTGGAGAAAAAAATACTCTAGAAAAATTCATTTAAAATTTATTTAAAATATTAAAGTAGTCTCATCTCCATTTTCCACAAAAATACTATTAAAAATAATTAATATTTTTTTTTGTTACACTTCAGTTTGAAAAAGATGATGGCACCTATCACACGCAATCTGAGCTTATCTTCAATGCGACACGTTTCGAAAATGACAGGATATTCCGCTGCGATGCCGAAAATGTGGTGTTGCAGATAAACCGCGAAAAACCGTTCACAGCTTCGCTGACATTGGAGGTGTTATGTAAGTGTCAAAAGCAAACAACACAGTACAAATTATTGCCGAAAATAAATAATAAAAAAAAAAATTAAAATTTTTAATGTTTTTTATAAAGTTGTCTTAATTTTTGTTTTTGTTATATTCTATAGACCCCCCAGTTGTTAAAGTAAGCCCACCAGAGATAACAGTCAACACAAGCGATACTGTACTGCTTAATTGCGAGTATGTGGCAAATCCGGCATCCCTCACCAAAGTTGTTTGGTAAGTCGATGAATTCAAGTATTTAAATTAATTTTTATTATATATTATATAGGAATTTAATTTCAAATATTTCATTTATAATTTCTACTTTTAATTTTATTTAAATTTTTAACTCAAATAACTTAAGTACTATAAAAAATTATTTCATTATATCACACGACAAAGTAACTAAGCTAAGCCAATGCAAACCAAATAAAATCACAGTTTATTTGCAAAAATGCACTCAAGCAGCAAATGAACGGAACACAGTAACTTAATTTAAATAAAATTTCCACAATAAACAGAAATCTAATTAAAGTCAAATACAAAAATCAGTATGTACATATATACCAACTACAGATACTCTCATATGTACAGTTTCAGATAATATCGAATAAGTGCATGGCATTGCATTCTGTATGGCAATTGTTCTAAATGCATTACTGGAAAATGCGTAATGCACTAATGCAATGCATGCATTTGTATACACACAATTTGCGTAAAATCCAAATAGTTCAACATTTGCATTTAAATAAGCTGCACTGAAAATGTTTTATTGTAATCCAAACAGGTGTATTCTTGCTGCGGCATAGATTCCCATAGCAGCAACAGTGTTGCCTACAATATATAATATTTTCTATTTACACTTGCAATTGCTGTTGATTTCCATTGCAAGAACAGCGTAGCGGAAATAAAACGGAATTACTTACTTTACCGCTGCGACAGATAAACGCACATAGATTTGGCTTAACTCTCGTTGTTGCGTTCGGGAAATACCGATTTACAGTTTGTTCATTAAGCATTTGCAATAGTACCGCAACGGACTCACCGTACACTTTGAATAGAGCACATGCAACTTTGTGTTACGGGGCGTATGAGTGCTCCTTAATTCAAATCAAATTATACACGCGTATTAAGTTTGAGCGCTGTTGTCAATTTGTGTAAACAAAATGTAAGCAAATTTTTTCTGTAAGGAATATTGATTGGATTTATTTTGAAATCAAAAAATATTAAGGATATTGTTCAGTGTAACATAAATAGAACAAGGTCCTTTATTTTAGGAAATGGTTTTAACCAACAAAGCACATCTAAACAACATTGCTTCAACAAATATTATTTACACAGCGACATCTATGAATGGATGATGGAAGGTGAATTATACACATTTCATCTACCTACTCTAAAATTTGATCGTATGGGTGTGAGTAGTGTGCACTTAACATACTTTCTGTCATATTTTGAGCTAATTCGATTGATATTTCGCTGTGATTATATGTTAATTTTATCTATATTAGCTAAAAGGACTACATGGAACATAGATTGAATATTAAGTTCAGGATATATATTCCGAAGCATTTCTTTATTTTGACTGACTTCATGAAATGTGAAGACCTTTAAAAAACAGGAACCAAACACCACCTCAAAACGACTATTTTAAATGACCACTTTGTGTCTGCGAAATATATCTAACAGAAACAAGGATACCTCTTCTATCCATCTCTTAGCTTAAGGGTAAACTGTGCACAATGACGCCCTCCAAATTTATTTTCTGCTCGAAAAATGCACCCCTCTTACGGTTCATCAACCGCATGCATTTGATTGGGCTCTGTACTTTTCCAAACTCTTTTGCAAACTAAAATTGACGACTAACTAAAACATCACTGTTTTGACCCATCATGTACATTCATAGATTGTGATTTCGCTACCGTTATAATATTTTTGATATTGCCTGTAGGAATTTTGAATATCCAGATAGCACATCTCTGCTATTTATGTGTTTAAATGTTCTTAAAATCGTGAAGTTTTATATTATTTGTTGGGATTATAAAAAATGGACAACTAGGTTCTCATCTTATAATTGATTTCATTGTTTGTGATTTTCTCTGTAATCCTTTTTCTAAGCCCAAATGGTAAATTTTTGCCAATTATGTGTTTAAATACTTATTTCAACTTCAAGTATCAGCTTGAATTTTAAATTTCTTTAGAAATATTTATTGATTCTGCTTTATCCACCACTTTTTGTACATAATAGAATAGCGTCGTTCTATAAAAACATTTGCATTTGTTCCTAAATCAAATAAAATAATCCTGGAGATATCATTCTCCAAATATTTACTGAATTTTTTATAAGGTCTGTTACTATAATTTTTACAGAAATATATATTTCTAAACAGAATTAAGTTTGCTGATTTTAGCTAGTATATAAAATATTCTTTCCTTTCGTCTTGATTATGCAAATAGAGTTTCAAAGCTTGTTTTCAAGTCAACTTTTTCCATAAACTTTTGAATTATATTTGGGCACGCCTTCAGAGGATTTTTTAAAAATACATATCTTAGGTTGTACTATCCCTAAAGCTGTAAACGTTTGACCTTATTTTAAGCTTGACCGACCCCGTTCATTAAGAACTCGAACCCGTAATATATACCTTCTGTTCAAAAAGTACTCGGATTTTGTAAATAAAACACACAAATTTAAATTTTATTCCAAATTTATTTTATCTTCTTCAAAATATGCTCCTTCTGAAGCGATACCATATGCCAACGCTTAACCCAATCTTCCATACACTTTTCGTAGGCACGTGAAGGTATGGCTTTTAGTTCTTTCAGTGATTTCTCTTTTACCGATTCAATCGACTCAAAACGCTTACCACGAGGGGGCAATTTGAGTTTCGGGAACAGGAGGTAAGTCGCACGGATCCAGATCTGGCAAATATGGTGCTTGAGAGATGACAGTGGTGTCGTGTTTGATCAAAAAATCGCGTACAACAAGAATTTTCCATAGTTAAAATCGCTAAATGCACTTGAGATAGTCTCACATTAACAGCTGCTGTAAACGATCTAATTGACAGATGGCGCTCAAATTTGTACCATATGTCAAGAAAGGATGTACCGACATAACAAAAAAATTTTTGAAAAAGGTCTATTACTTAAGGAATAGTTAACAAACAACAAAATCCGGATACTTTTTGAGCAGAAGGTACCATATATAATCCGTTTTTTGTTTTAAATTCTTTAAATCAAGAAATTTTGTTTTCTTTTCAATTCTTTTCAAGAACTCAATTTTTTATATTAATATTAATTAATATTAATTCATAAAAAAAATAAATACTAAACTATAAATAATAAGAATATATATTTGTAAGCATTATTTTCAAGCTTTAACCTCAAATTTTACTTCAGCTGTTAAATGATTATTTGCTTCAGACCATAAACCGGAAAATATAGATTTTCACAAGAAAAAAAAAATAAATTCAATCTATGGATAAATTCGATTTTCACGAAACATGTTTTTGGCTTAAATAATTCTCAAGCCCAATTGAATACATTTCCATAGCAACTAAACTTTCGAATATCCCTGCAGTAGTGTAACCGCTTGATAAAAACTTTATTTTACGCTCCAAATACAATTGCATCCTTTTTCTCATTGTCATCCTTTAGTATAAAATTGAAAATACCACAAACGTTTAAAACAAAACTTAACATAAACCAAAACAGTACAAAGGACTTGGAGGGAAAGAGAAAAAGAAAAAATGTTAAGAATATTCAAAAGACGCTGAAGTATGCAGCTGGTTACTTCATTGTCGTTGTACTCCGCTTGGTGGCTTGGTTGTTCTGCTTACTCGAGAAAATTTGAAAATTTGAAAATTGAATTTAATGTGTATGCACAAGTATTTTCGTATTTTGCGTAAAGAAAATAAATTCCTTTTGGCGAATTTTGCGTGAATAACATAAAATGTTGCCAGCGGCGGTTTCCATCAACATGTGCAACGAAGCATTACGCTCCTGCCAGTGACATTGCAGTGCATACATTGAATGTGTTGTGCTCAAAACTAACACAAATAACACCAACAACACAAACACTTTTGTATGCTAATAACACAAGCCGACGCACAGACGATGTAAGATTTCATTTGCAGCAATTGTAGCGCGCGGGATAAACAACAACCACAACAACAAAAACAAAAACAATAATAAAGCATAAAATAATGGCATATGTAGGCACAGCATCAAACTACATACTACGCATACACACTCATGCTCACAAAGCAACAACAAAAAACACATAAAGCCGACATATGCTGTTTATGCATTAATTACAATCAAACACTTTATGCATGCATGCATGAGAGTCAGTCAGTAGAATAGCAATCTACACACACTCACCACACACACACACACACACATATATACACAGACTACAAGTTTCTATATTGATGTATGCGGCTGCTGTTACAAGCTCGCACAGTGTCATTTCTTATGGAAACTGTTTGTCGCTCCTATTTGTTGTATACAAGCGCAAAAGTGTTTTATTTTCATTAACAGCGAAATGTTAAATTAAAAGGATTAAAATTTTATTTGATGCTTGAAAAATGGCAATATAAAAGAATTAATTATAAAAAGCATTTCACTCAAAATAAAAGTAAAAATAAAAAATAAATAAATAAATAAAATATGACTACAACCACAAACTAATGATTAAGAGAGCAGAAAAAATGAAGTGAGCATGTTTATTTCGTCGAGGTCAAAGCAGTGCACTGCATTCTGTGAAAGTGGATTTCCATGTATTTTTCAGTAAAAGCGTTAAACAGATTTCAAGATTTCATTTGACTTTTTAAATTAAATGTACAAGTACATAATATAGTTAGTTAGTACCTTTAATATTATATTTTAATTATAGATAATGTGACACAATTTCATCATATTAAAAAAATATAGTGTAAGAGATTAGTAGTCAGTAAAAAATAAACAATGAAATCTAAATGAAATCTAAAAAAATAAAATACATAAATCCTCACTTTTCTCTATCTAACTCATCCCAATTCAAAAAAAACCTTTTTAGTACATTTTTGTATGGATTTTATATGAATTTTGAATGGAAAGCAGCACATATTGCTGCATATTATCGTGTTAAGCACAATACTCTAAACAGGGAAGTCGTATTTTACACACAGATCGATCCCTACAAATATTGTGCTAGGAAAATTGTACATAGATTTGAGATAACCATCATGTTAGATAACGTCGCTTTTTGCAAATCTGAGAAACGATTGTTGCTCCAATCCTGATAGCTCTTCCAGCTTCTTGTGACAATGTAGAATATAAGCATCTGTAATGTTGCAAAGTATCCACTATACTTTGGTCTCTATATCAGTTTCTATTGGTAATTTCGGTTTTGTAAGCGCAATACAGATCGGTTTTCATTTTGTTTATGAGATTTGTACATCATCTTTACAATTTTATTGCTGAAACCTCTATTTTTTAAAAATATTTTTAAATTCTATTAAATTAATTAAGATATGAAACCAACCTTTATATACCACTACTAGTTTCATATTTGTGTGAACCTTCCATAATTAGGCCGATACTGATTTCTCTATAGAACTTAAACAGATACTAACATAATCAATATGATAATGATAAACGGTGATGTGGTAGATTTTTTTTTGTTAAATTCTATAAACAGTCATCGTAGTTTATTATTAATCTATTCTTAATTTTTTAGCATCTTTATATTAAAAAACATAGCGATGTCAATCAATTAGTTAGATTTTGAATATTTAACTCCTTCAAATAAAATATAATGGAAGTCTGTCAATTACAATTTATTTTCTTTTTCGTCCAAAAACCAGTCTTGAAAATTATCAACAATATGTATAACAATTAGGTGGATTTATATAGAACTGTTGAAAAAACAGAACTGTCCTAAATTTAAATAGCCCTTTTTACTTAGCTCTTTCAGTACTAGTAAGTATATATACAGGACGTGAGAATTCTATCAAAATTCAGTACTGAAGTTTGTAAGCAACAGTGTTAATAGCTAATTTATATATAGCTGCAAAATGATATAATGAAGCACTTTAGTTTTTATTATATTCTATTTATTTTTAATATAAATATGTGTATTAATATAATAAATCAGTTGTAGCACAATAAAGTGTAAATTAATATAGATTAAAATAGCGAAGCCTACAAGTAGCAACGAAGTAAATGCGAAAGCTGTAGCATCACTAGAATTTTGATCAATTATAATATAGTGAGAGTAAAGAATACCTAGTATACTGAAACATTTTTAACTGAAAATATGTTGAACAAGAAATGACATATTAGCATAATAGTATGTTGGACATTTCATTATACTGAACAAACGAAAAATAAACCTGATTTTCTCTGAAAAAGTGACAGAATCTATGATCATCTAACTCTACATATACATGAGCTCTTTAGAATGGCATGTGAATTGCATTCTTATTTTTGTTTAGAAGAAACAAAAATTAAAACATTTTTATGAATTTCAAAGATGAATTCATGATAGACTTATCTACTAAACAAATAGGTAGTTCAAATTTGGCAAGTTCGTATTTTTGAATCTGTTTGTTATAGTCCAAATATTATATATGGCAGTCGACATACAAATAATCTAATATCTGTAACTAAAATTTATTAATTTGTTCAGTTAAGTATTCTACTATTCCAATAAGTAGTAAGTAAACTACTATTCGTCAGCTAGAAATTACACAAAGCCAGGTTTGAAGAAGACTTTTCAAAGTTCCATGGTACATTCGGACGAAAGACATACTCAGGAAACTCAAAATTGAACCGATCAAAAATACATAAAGGATAGAGCCCTGAAAATATTTACGAAAACTGACAGGCTTACCAAGACCGCGTTATCAAATCTCAGAATGGTTACAGGCTCCTCGGGGAGGTTTGCTGAGATCAGTTATTGCGGTTAGTAGAGAGTAAAAGTGCTCAAGTGCACTGACTCTACTAGCCTCAACATAGTTATAAATAGAATAACAATAAAAATAATTGAAATTAATATTCATAAAAGTAAATTAGCGAAATTTAAAATTATAATTATAGGAAGAATTAAAGTAATTTCAACATCAAAAATTAAAAAAATTTTTGTACAGCTAAATAATTTACTATATAATTAATAAAAATTTTTAATTAATTAAAATAATACAAATGAGTTTTTGTTGTTGTAGTTTATTACTATTCGAAACCTCTTTAAAAATTTTCTTATAAACTAAAAATATATGAGAACTTCACTATTCTTCAATTTCAATCAATGCAATTGCATTCGTTCTTTAGTAAAATTATGTGACTGATGCATGCTTTCAAACCACAATTCCTCATTTTCTTTTTTTTTTGAGTTAAAGAACAAAATATATAAAAGTAACAATATTCTTGCGTACTTATAGCAAGTAAAATCAGCAGTAATGGATAAAAATAATTTTAATTCCTTTCCGACATCGTTGAGCCCCATTAAAGCGTTTCCGTTTTGCTGCTATTTCCGGTGCATTTAATGTATTTGACTGGTCAACACAGCACATAGTAATGATTTTCAGAAATTCCGCCAAGAACCAACTCTAAAAGCAATTGGTAGGCGTTGAAACTACTTACAAATATTCCCTACGTGATTGTTTGTACCCGTGAATACACAATTTCAATTGTGTAATGTGAACGTTGTCGTTCACGATTCAAAATTTCGGCTTATGCGCGCCACTGTAATTAAAATTAATTACACTTGTACGCGCGTACTTACGCGACTCCAGTTTCTCATTAAGTTAAAGCAGAAAATGAATTGAATATCACGCACATATACCTATATATATATATATATATATATATATAGATCAGAGTAAAATATAGAACCAGGTAATTTTTAAAAAATGGAATGAAAAGAAAGCAGTTTTAAAGTAAGAAAAATTGAAAATATGTTCAGCGCCATTTTTTACAGTGGTCGGCCATTGCAGTTGTTACAGCTGCAAAAGTTTTGCATACTTTTCGGTTAAGTTTTATGGTCGCTGAAGAAAAAAGGATGCATTTAACTTTTCGTCTGTAAGCGTGCGTAAGTGTGCATTTGTAATTGTAAATCAATTACAATTTACGAGGCATGGATGTGCCAGGGCTTATGCGGAGTGAAAATGAATGAGGCAGTGCGATTCAATAAACAATATAACAATATTAAGCACAAATTTTTGGTTTTTATTGCAGTTCTTTTATTTACGATTTTATTGATCGTAAATTTCTTTCAGGTACAGTTCTTTCATGAAACAATTTTTAATTTTGTTTAATTTATATATTCTTTTTATTCAATAATTTTTCTTTTAAAATAAGGCACCATTGTTTTAAGGGCACTATCAATTTATCATGCAGTTGTTCCATAAAAAAATCCAAAAATTTTTGTCTGTAAAAAATTTTACACAGTTCACTTCTGAAAGAAGTTTTTAAGTTATTAAATTTTCTTATTACTTAATTTTTTTTAGTTGCAGTTAAACGTCAGTCATGTGCGAAGTGACTATTTTACTTAATATAGTAATGTAATAATATTGTGTTTAATAGAGAGGTTTCGAAAAGTAGTAAACCACAACAACAAAAATTCTTTTTATATTATAACTAATTAATTGAATTTTTGGCTGACCATACAGCTGTTTCGAATATTGCAAAATACCCATCACCAGTAGTCTTGAAGTTATTTCTTATATTTAATTGTTCGTCAATAAATTTCTGAGACTCCAAGTACCAAAGGTTGAAATCTTGCCCTGCCAAATTTGAAGCTCAGAGACAGCGTTTATTAGCTAACTGACCTAAATCCGTGTTAGATTATCTGCGTGTACGTTATTAGAGAGAGATATGAAAAGGAAACAAAATAACATAATAAGTTATAAATGTACAGAGTTGCATTCATTACTACTCTATCTGATATGTGCGAGTTGTACTTTTTGGTATGTTTCATAGCAATAATCCGTACTTGACTTTCGAAATCTCTCCACTAATATTATTTAATTGTATAAAAAAAGTACAAAAACATTTCATAAAAATTAAGTATTTTTTACAACCATTTTTTATGAGAGCTAGATAAGAATAAAGTTCATATTTTCTGAGAAGTGAACTTAAAGGCTACATGGGTTATATACTTTAAATATGGAACGTCTGACTTGAAAAATAGAAATAACAACTAATATAAAAACATCGAAAGTATCTTGGTTTAATATCGGTCCCAACGGGAGACTAGAATATTTGACGATATGGTGTCAGATTCGGCCTGCCCTCTCAAATTTCATATAGTACATGTCTACCAGCATTCGAAGTAGAAACAGCGGAGCAACTGTTATATCTTTGTATAGGCTTGTCTAGAACTAGGCTTAAGAAATTGGGTGTACCACTTTTTAACAGACTCAGCGATATTTCCAACATTAGTATGAGCCAGATACTTGCATTTATCAATGCGTACGGCTGGTGCTAATATGCTAATCGTTCTACTTGCTATTACGAGGAATTACGAGGAATGTGGAATCAAAACGGCAGTTTTAGCTAAAAAAGTAGAATTCGTTAATTTCTTTCCCTTTCACCTTTATTACCTTAATTCTAAACACCCATCTTATTGTATTTTTGCAAAGTTTGCAAAGTTTAATTCTATAAAAAGTTTTTAAAATTTTATTTTAATTTTTTCAGAAAAGTATTTTACAAAACTAAATTTTTTTTTTATTATTTATATTTTTTTTTTTTTATATCAAATATTAAAAATAGTGAGAACATTTAACAAATCAAATAAAATATTTTAATTATTCCTAACCAATATTTTGTCATAACTTTTAATTAAATTTCACATATTTATTCTTCAGGTATCGCAATAGTGATGTGGTAAATGTCAATGATACGGATCGTTATGAAGGTGGTAATTCTGAAAATGTCGCCCTCGTAATACGTTCAACTGACAAGGAGGATATCGGCAACTACACATGTCAATTATCGAATGCTATTGGCAAAGGCGTCTCCGAACAGCAAATCGATTTGGATGTGCAGTGTAAGTGCAATATTACACAAATAAATAATTTGTATTTATATGTCAGTTGAATATACATACTTATCTGTTTGTACATATATACACGATTTACAATTATATTAACTTTATATTACAACCTTTGTTATTACTGTTGTTGTTGTTGTTGTTGCTGTTTTTCATGTTGTTACCATTCATATTACATTGTAGATGTGCCAATTGTTGAAGTGCTGATGATACCTGAGGGTCCCGTAAAGGAAAGTGATGAATCAAATGTCACATTGTATTGTAATATATTGGAGGCAAACCCAGCAACACTCACTAAAGTGCGTTGGTATGCGAACTCAACATTATTGAAGGAATTGCCAGACTGCGAGGAGACAAGGGTATGTTAACAATTTTACACAGACAATAATTAAAATTGCAGGATAACATTTAACACACAATGTTTGTTGAAATTAATTGCATACATATATTTAGTTGCAGCTTGTATACATAAAAATAAGTATATATATCTCATAAATGTTTTTAGCTTATACATTTCTACAATATATATATTTATTAAATGAAGACAATACATTTGAAGTTTTTGAACAAAAACTTGAAGAAGTATAGGGTACTTTCATATTAAGATATAACACTATAAATCTGTTATTTTATCTATATTATCTTAATTTTCTTTTAATTTTTTTTTTTTTTGTAAACTGCACTTCTTTATTAATTTAAAATATTTTTAATAATTACTACAATAGGAGGACTTATGCCACATTGATCCCAGCAAACTGCTGCTTGAAAGTATTGGAAGAGGCTTCTTCTACAATTATTCTTGTGAAGGTTACAATGCTGCTGGCTGGGGTTCACGTAGTGATGATAAGGAACTAATGGTAAACTTTAATGATTTAATACTTTACTATATACTACATTTATACTATATACTATTCTATAATATATACTATGTTATATGATTTTATATTTATACTAGTTTATGTAAACTAATTTTAATTATTATAACAACTCAATTTACTAAAGTTACTGAATTTTTTTGATAAAAAGTTGCAACTTAAAACTGCATTTGTATAGAATAAAATAATATTGCAAGACAGTATATATATATATATATATATACATATTTTCTCTTATATAAAATACTGTTTTGCTGTATTATTTTACTTTATACAAATTCATTTCAGTACTGCGAAACAGTATTTTATATAAGAGAAGATATGTATATATATATATATATCTATATATATATATATATCTTAATTTTCTTTTATACATTTACATTTATTTGAGACTTTATTACTTTGAAATTATATTCAGCATTCCCATACGCTAACCTCTACATGTTTCACTTATTAATCCAGTGTCTTATCATTAATCTGAACAATAATTATTACAATGACAATTAAAGCCAATAACACTACGACCAAAGGCAAGTCTACATTAAATATAATTTAAATATTAATTAATAATGAATATTTACCGGAAAAATGGAAGAATATATGTGTTTCTATTAAACAAAAATATTACTGTATATATGTTTTATTATGTGTTTATGTTTTTAGATTTAATAAAACAATCTACATGCAACTCCATATATATAATATATTTATAAGTAAATACATATTTTATATACCTTAACCTCTTTTCAATGATCCTCAATACAGATTATTGATTCAAGAAAAGGACACTATAGCGAGCGAAATGCATAGTATTATTGTATCTGACTCTCAAGACTTTTTTGAAGTTGCCATCAAATCTGTGTCAATTTCATATATGATACTCTAAACACTATCGTTATGGCATTCTTTATCTCACATATAGGGTTTTAGTAAGACTATAATGGCAAAAAATTTTTGAGTCATATAAATCATTTAATCCGACACAATTAATCTTCTTTAGAAGGCATTGCAATAAGCAGAGATTTCTGAGTATCCATTCAAATACGTAAGTGTAAAAATTTAAAAGTCGTTAATTCGCATTAATAGTCAAATAGAAATATTGATCAAATATAGAGTTAAATATTATTCTGTAAGTTTTTATTGAACTACAAGAATTTTGAAAAATCAAAATCCTTTTTTCTACAAACCTCACTTAAAGAGCATTCATGTCAGCTGCATTAGAAATGACTACCTCTACAAAGTCCACAGTTTTTTAATGTCTGCCGTTAATGCTTAATACCATCGTCTCTTAATAAACGTATTGATATAATGGGGCAGTCTACGCTCCATTGGGATGCCAAGAAATGTCTGCCGTTAATGCTTAATACCATCGTCTCTTAATAAACGTATTGATATAATGGGGCAGTCTACGTTCCATTGGGATGCCAAGAAATTCCGCCGATATCAATTGAAGTTATACGTTTGGATTAAGTTTCCTCCGTGGAGGGAATGAGACCCATCTCATACATCTACTGATATTTGGGCCAAAGCACCTATTTAGAAAATGCAAATTCACATCAATTGAAAGTAATGAATATAGTCATTCTATCGGCGTAACTTTAGGTTTTAACAACAGTCACTACAATACTATCAACCTTTAAATTTCACATTTAACAAGACTATGACTGTCTATATAACATGACGCTTACTGAGTGACCAAATTTATGTCAATATTTCTCCCATTCTTAATTTTTAAATATACATGACTGTCTATATAATATGACCATTAGTGTAAAAAAAATGATCTTTTATAAAATAAATAATTCAAAGGTTATATTTTATACTATACATTTTATAAAAAATTATCTTTTTTTTTAGGTGCACTATGAGCCTGGTCCGGCAAAATTGATGCATTTTCCTTTGATTGCAGTGAAAAAGAAGAGTGTTACATTCTCATGTTCTGTTGAAGATCCTGGTTATCCAGAATCAAATAGGTTTGTAAAAACCAATGTTACATCAATCAAAAAAATTAAAAAAACCATTGAAAAAACTAAGTACCCATTCATTAAGACAACAACACCCTTTATACAATTCCATACCATACAAGCCCTCAAAGCTAATGAAGCTGAAACAGCTTATGAAGCTTTGATTAAACAAAATTTACAAAAGCAATTACAACAACAAAACGAACAAAAACAAACACATGAAATTAAAGAAACGCATGCATTAATTGATTTAAAAAATCATTCCCTTTGTACATTACTTACACTCACTACATTCTCACCACAATCACAAATATTAACATTGTATACTGCGGATAAATTGAAAACACTAACATCATCCTCATCATCATCATTATCGTCATCATCATCATCATCAACAACTTCTTCATTACATCCGCCAACATACTCGACCACACCATCAACATCAACAACATCAACATTTTCACTTTATCGCAAAATGGGTAAATTTTCATTTGTTGGACAATTTTTTGTGCATCCGCACAGATTTCGTTGGTTGCGTGGTGGGCGCGGACCATTACAGGACATTGTTACCAAGGATTGGACTGTCGAACCGGTCGGACTTGATAGCCGCACCAACTATTCATGCTATGCCTACAACGATGGCGGCAAAGGTGTAATGGCTACAGTAAATTTAGAGGTGCATGCACCGCCATTTTTCATTAAGAATTTACCACCATACACGGGCATGCTGCATTCATCACCGCATGCCAATCTGACGTGCCGCATTGAATGTGTGCCACGCTGTGAGATTTCCTGGTTGAAAGATGGTGTCGCCATTGATAAGAATGACACACGCTACTTTGTCAAAGAGAAATACATGGACGCCTCGCCGGCGACCGGCGATTTTGAGAGCATGCTGTCAGTGTTGGTAAGTAAAGTCATTTTTTAAGCGATTACTTTGTTTTCTTTTGCCAACAAAAAGTGTAACGAGTGAAAAATAAGAAATAAACGAAATAAAAATTACAACTCTGTGGTCTACAAACATATACCAGACGAGTGAGAAATGAAAAGTCAGCGGGAAAGGCAGTTAAAATAAATTTAAAGAATTTGTTTGTGGAATTTTTCATTCCATTGTAATGTTTTAATAGAAAATTTTTTTTTATTTTATTTTATTGTTGATATCAATCAGTTACTTACACTCCCTACTTAAAACCAAAGGTAGCCTTTGTCCTTGTTTATTTTTAATTGATGAATTTAAGCAAAGTTGCTGTGTGTAGTATCTTTAGTATTCTTTTCCGTTTCTTAATAACTTGTTTAAATTATCCAAACTAAAACCGAAGAATGCAAACTATTATTGCTTTCCTAAATAAATTTCTAGTATATTAGTCACTTCTTTCTCTGAAGCTTTTTTAAGTATTTACTCTATTGTAAATATCCCGCGCTTTTTTTATTATGCATAGTTATTTGTTATAATATACAAAGGATGGATTAAGGACAAGTTTCGACATTGTTCGACATTGGAAATTGAAGTACCACTTAAAATGCATCAAATCAAATGCTTACCTTAGTTTCAAATGGATCAATTTTATGACATATAACATTATAAAAATATAATTTATGTAGAAGATTTCTTTAAATGTTCAGTATTTCAGTATTTATTTTGCTAATATAACGTATTTAAAATGTAACTGACACACCTGATTACTTACAGTAACTATTAGGAATAAAAGCTTAATAAACGTAACTGACATTGAAGGCAATTTATCTTTTTTGTGTCCCCCTATCGGAAAATATATATATTAAAATATATATAAGTCATTATATTACTAAATTAACAATATTTACATATTTTTTACAAATTGATCAAAATTTATATTTTCGGGAATGTAGAGCGTGTTTTGAGGATTATTCATTATCCTTCTGTGAAAGGCGCTAATTGATAATGGACGCTCCTATATTCTTCCGTCCTTCGGAAATTAGAGATTAAAATAATAAGGAGAAAGATACGTAGACATCTTTTGGTATACTATAATGTTATCAATCTTCAGTTAGAAATAGTACGTCAAGATCTATATATAAGAAACAATCAAAATGAACAAGAGTTATCAACACAAAAAACAATCAACACTCACACAAACAGACTGATACATTCGTTTGAAATAAATTTTGCTCTTGCAGTCCAAACAAATTATATACAGACTATAAATAATTAAAAATAATTGAAGTATTTCTCAAGACCACTGATGACAAGCATTTAGCACTAAAAATTGAAGTATTTCTCAAGACCACTGATGACAAGTATTTAGCACTACTCAAAACAGCATTATATGGTCAGCCAAGTTTCAATAAATTAACTAAATTTCTGTTATTGTCTTTTGTTATCTATTCGAATTCTACTAACTTTGAAAAATAGCTTCTTTGAAATCATAAGAAGTGTAGTTTTTAGCAAAAATATTAGATTAAAATCTTATACATATTTAGCTACATATTTAGTGTCTTTAAAATAACCAAAAATAAGTAATATCGAGAAAGTACATCATGTATAGATTTTCTTAGTTTTTGCGCAATCTTGTTTTATAAGATCTACTTTTTACATATATAAAACTGATTTAATTAAATATTGTTTTTACATACCAAATCACTACTTAAATAAATATAAAAAAAAAATTATATTAATAAAATAAATTATATGTCTAACGATTGGTATATATGAAAAATAAAAAAAAAATTGAATTAATAAAATGTATTCTGTGAGAACGATGACTGATTCAAAATCTATAATATATAGCAAATAATTAAAAATGAAAAATGAAAAAAAATAATTAAATAAATAGAATATATAAATTAATGATTAAGTGACACATAAAAAGTTCATAAATAATTCCAAGCTAATTTATTATAGCATAAAATATTTCACTCAGCTAATTTAAATTTATTTAAAATTTTTTTATTTAATCATATTAAATCATTATCTATGTCATTTAAAAAAAATTAATGCTGACATATATGTTTTAAATAATTTTTTTGCAATTTATTTCGTAGCACTTCAATATGTCAAATTGGCCAAATAAAAAATTCGACATCGAAGCGGATAACGCCAATTACACGTGTGTGTCAACTGGGAACACAGTGGGAGCTGGCATTAAGAGTGCGACCTACTTTAGTATCGAATGTAAGTTCAGTATTTTACAATAAACCATATAAGCCTTTACAATATATATATATATATATATTTGATATATATAAAGAATTTATATTATAATAAAAAATGAATAAGAGTTGGAAAGAAAAATTTAAACAAAATAGCGATTATCATAAAATTGACAACAATGACACATTTTTGACAGATGCGCCTGACAATACCACCGTATCGGAAGAAGTCGTTTATGTGCAAGAGGATACAATACCAGGACGTGTCATATGCAAATCGAGAGCTAATCCGGGTAAGAAACTTATGTTCACTTTCATGTACGAGTACACAAATATGTCACATTGACATTGTCACATTTAAAATGACTAAAGTGGGGAAATACATTTTTGTCTCAAGTAGCTCAACAGCGCTCGAATGGGTGCTTAAGCCTTAAATGACGGTATATGTAAAGTATAAATTATAAAGTGAAGAGGGTTTTATTTTATTTTTTTTTTTTTCATAGAAATAGAAACGTTAGAAATGTTACAAATGTTACCGAATTGACATTAATAAAACCAAAATATTTTTATTTTTATTTATTTATTTTTTTTGTTTTTTTTTTGTTTTGTTTTTATGTGATGCCGACTTTGTAGTTGATTTTATTATTATTTTCAAAAACAAATATTTGTAGAATTTTATATTAAAAGCTTTTACAGATTTTATGCCTATTTTATTTATATCATTTATATAGTTTTATATATAAATATATTTTATATAAAAATATTTTTCATAAACGAAATTTTTTATATTTTTATGGAATTTATGAACAGAACCCTCGTATGAGTGGCGTTTCAATAATAAAACTGTCATACGTGGTAATGCTTTGATCATCAATACGCCAATGGCACGCAACGATACTGGGCGGTACACTTGCCTGGCATTTAATAAGCACGGACGCAGCACGGCTGAAACCTCCATTGATGTGCAGTGTAAGTACATGATAAAGACTATATATAGTATATTTGTGTTTTTATATATATTAACTATATATATATATTTTAAAATAATATTTGTAAAAATGCCATAAAGTGTTTATGTTTGGCTTTCATGTCAATAAACGTGCACTGAAGTTTAGTGCGTGTATGACTGACTATTATGTTACTATATAAACCAAATATTAAATATGTTGGATTTATGTTAAAATTATTTATATAATGTTATCATAATAATAATTCACAAAATTTTAAACATATATCAGTAGTAGTGTAATAAAAAAAAAATTTAAACTTTTATAGTAAAAGTTTTACGTTTTGAGATTGCAGAAAGCAATCTGCTACAGAAATGCATGTAAAAGCGTAATAAACGTGATATTGCGTTTTTATGTGCGTAAAACAATTAAAATTTTCTGATTATTTATTACTTTTATTAAAAACGATATATTTTTATCGCTGTAAAATAGCACAAATAAATGCATTCGTATTTTTATTGCAGTTAAGCCACGTTGCGAAATTGAAAGGCGAGAGATCGATGACCAGGACACACTAATTTGCACAGCATTCGGAAATCCTGAAGAGGTAAGTGCACTAACATTTACACAGAGGTAAAACCAAATGTAAATTCACTGCACTGTACTGCACTACACAGACCGACAAAGCAGCTTCATAAAATATATCAAATGAATTGTTGGTTTGTTTGTATTTCAATACCAACGCACAGGTGCAATTCGCACACGTTTGTCTGAAATCGCAACCTCATAGATACTAAAGTTAAAAAACGAAGACAAAAAAAAAACAATTGAGAAATGAGACTCAAATGCTTCATGGTTGAAATTGAATACACATACGATTACTTTCAGCTTATTCGCTTGCAATATACGGTCAAATTGTGCAACAGACATTACACATTATAGATACACCGGTTGGCCTTTAGGAAGATAACATCCATCCCACTACATTGGTGTGTAGTGGTGGTGGTGGTGAATTGAAGTATTCGCTGCAGTATTCCAATAATGGTTTGAGGAATTCAATTTTGGTAAAAAAAAAATATATATTTATAACGCTGTTGCGTTTCCATTTCTACCACTTCTATCACTTCTTGCCCCATTGCAATTATTTTATACCAGAAAAAAGCAGCAGAAAAAAGGCTTAAAACTCTTTTGCATGTAAAAATGTATGTTACCAATTTCCACTTATAAGATTGCTACTACACTCGTTCCCTGCACACACCTTCGCTTCAAGGATTTTACAATTTTTATGAGTGCACCTTTACGGTTTCGAGGTGTCGGTATGTTGGTACGTAGTCCCGTATCTGCGTTCAGCTAAGCTCATGTCGAATCTATATAAATCAGTGTAACTTTTTGACTTGGATGCTGTGGCACCAAGAGCAACACTGTAGTTGGCGTGTACTGGTACACATACCATAAATTGAAAGAGTTGCAAATACTCGTATCTGAGGGAAGAAAAAAGCGTATTGCAAGTGAAAAAAGTGTATATACAAATCCGTATCCGTATCCGTATGTAGTTAAAATTACATTTCTGTAGATAAATTTTCGATTTTTCTTCCAGTTGTTACTTGGCTTATTTTTTGTGTCAGTTGGGGTTAATTCATTTAGGAAATTTATTGGTTGAATTTTGTGTTATTACCAACTATGGTAAATGTAATTATTTTATTGCAGCAGCAATCCGAAATTCATTTGGGAATTAAAATGTATTACAAAAAAGATTTGTGTAGGTTTCTTCTTTGCTTTTTTTTTCAAAAGGAATAACGATATATAAAATGAAATTAATTTCAAATTGAATACCGAAATAGAAATCGAATTTCACATTTAATTTGCATTTATTTATATGGAGCAAACATTGTTTTTTATGGAGTACATTTATTTATATTAACATAAATCAGATATAGAAAAGTTTTAAGAGTAATTAGAAAATAAATCAATGAGAGTACTTGAAAGTATTATTGCAAATTATAGACATTTACAATTATTAAATTTAATTTTAATGTCAAAATAACAGTAGTAACTATTTTTACTTTAATGGAAACTGTGGTATTTAATAGAGAGATTTGGAAAAGTGGTGAACTACAACAACAAAAACTTTTTTTATTTTTTACAATTAATTAAATTTTTGACTTATCATACAGTTGTTTCGAGAATTGCCAAATACCCATCATTAGTGGTCCTGAAATTATTTCTTATATATAATTACGTGTAAATAATTTTTTTTTTGTGACTGCAAATACCAAGAGTTGAACTCGTACCCTGCCAAATTTGAACCTCAGCGTCAGTGTACATTAGCCAACTGACCCAAAACCGTACAATTTACAATTATATTTAAATACATTACTCAATATTTGCTTTGAGACTTTATAAGCTGTTTTTTGCTATGCATGACTTATAGAAATAATATAACCAATATAAAAAAAATTCAAAAATGAACCATAAAAATATAAAATGATTAAAATCTATGAAAGTAGATGACTATAGAATATAAAAATATAAATAACAAATTTTTAAGAAACCTTAGATTACTTTATTCCAAATCAACAGTTATAAATTAACTGAAGCTTCTTTACTGTCATGGATTTCTTTCCAATTAACCCATTTTAAAAATAAAATTATTAATAAAAAGAGTTATCAATAGAATACTACCTTTTAAAACATCCAACTGTATACAAAATAAAATATCTTATATCTAGATCCTAACCAGCTTATTGGCTATAGAAACCATAAAAATATGTCACATTATTAAAATCTTGAAGTAGCCTTGATTTAAAATAATGTACTTTAAAAGTTATACACATCAATATAAATATATATATAAGAAGAAAAGATAATATAGCAACAAGAGGCTAATATGAGTACAAGGTTTTCTATTTCTTCTTTCTCAAGCTAAACATAAATGAAGGACAGTTATGATGGTCATATCGATAAAATTTCTCTTTCAATATATTAATAAGACCTCTCCATTAGGTGGAATACATAACATATATCAAATGTTCCTCATGAAACATCTTATAGTACTATATTCTTTTGCGATAATTCTCGTTGATTTGTTGGTTCATAGTTACCAACAGCTCGGCCATAACTTGACAACTGTTTGTCAAGATAATTCAGATAACTCAGAATAGCAAAGTTAATATAAATATTATAAGTAATATTTATAAAGATATGGAACATTACGAGTAGTGTTTACGAAGCACTTGTACAAGACAATAATGTTTTACTTCCTATTCTTCTGCTGGGCTTAATCCCTGAAATTGATTTTAGCACTGATAACTTATGTAGAGATGAGTAATGCCAACCACAACCCCCTGTGGAACCATTTTGAAAGTTCTAAAATTAACTTTTTCTTAAGCAGAGTTTATTTTGCTAACACATTGAATTAAAATTTATTAACTAACTTAAAGTTTTGTAATTTGCTCTCTAAATCCAAATGACTTTCTTTATTTTGTATGAATTATTTTATATATAGAAGAGATTCACACTTTCTTTCTTGCCTTACTTAAACGTATGGATTTTATGATTTATAGTATACGTGAGAATGAATTACATTATAAATTAAACGGGAGAGTCAATTTTCAATATTTTAGTTCATAATTATAAAGATGTCCTTTTAAACTGCTGGTCTATACTAAATGTAAGATGGTTTTACAGACAGCTGTTAGGGTGACACCACATGTTCACATTGAATCGAGTTCTCTTTAATAACTTTTAATATATTAGTCACCACACCAAATTACTATGAATTACTATGAGGATTTATATAGCTATTTTTACAGAAGTCCAATATTCTTCCTATCATCCTTATTTTCCCTTGATCTTTGTTCGTAGTACGAACACTCTTTTTTTCAATTTCAGAAGCATACACTTCAAAATTTGATCTTGTCTTCAGTGGAATATTCAATTGGTTTTCTCTGCTTTTATCTCGGGATCTATTTTTTTCACTGTATGACGTTCTCCATTAGTTATAACTTAAACAAATTTCTATATATTTAGTATAAATATATATATTCCATAAAGGTTCCATAAATATTATATATAAATATATAAATAAATAAATATATCCATAAATATATTCCATAAATAGTTTATGAATGAAATGTATTAAATTATTTAATTCGAGTTCATAATGCAAAGCTGTCTCAAACATAATCCTTTAATTTTTCATAAATGAATTTATTCAATTTAAATCGAATAAAATTAAACTCAAATTTTCCATTATCACATGTACATATGGTATATCCGGCACATATCTACAAAGCCGAAGGCACATTATACATTTGAAACAAATTAAAGAGTATGAGGAGAAAGTTTACTCAATTACTTATTTACATGTTTTTAATTATTTCTATTATTTTTTTTCCATTTTCCAGGCGGATTTTTCATGGTCAATTAAAGCTGAAAATGAGACTGTCGAACAACTCGGCAGCGGTAAGAGCAAAACAGAGAAGGATAAGAGCTTTTACGTACTGGAGCGGGATTATGCAATTGCACGCACTTATCGTTGTGTGGCCAATAATACCGCTGGAGCGGGACCATTTTGTGAAATTGAAGTTGCTGGTAAGTTACCTTGTTATGTGTGCGGTTAAGCACTAAATGATAATGAAATACCTCACAGACCTCACAGACCTCATAGAGGTAGAGAGATAACAAAAAGTCTGTCGCAGAACAAAAGTCTGTTAGCTTGTCCGTTGTTAAGCACATATGCATTCACTTACTGGCACGGACACTCATTAAGCAAACTCACATTGGGTTTTTATTGAAAAGTTTACATGGCAACTCCTGAAACTTTATAGCAATACTTTTTTTGCGCAATGTTTGTGCGTCGGTAATCGTTGAATTACGTACTGATGGCCAGACGAGCTTAACTTGCTTAATTCATTTAAAATCATTATTTGCTGGTCACTCTGCTTTTAGCTCCTTTAAATAATCTATAACATGCAGCAGTGTAAAATTGTTTAAGTAATTGTTAAGCAAATGAATTCTTTTACTTTTAAATCTTCTTTGACGTTTTGCATTTAACTATCTTCAATCTCATTGAATACATTTTTGAAATTTAAATCTCTCCAAGTGGAAACTTAAGGTTTTCTTCGGCAAAATTGATTTGATTTATTGTGCATAGCAATTCCTATAAATCTATAAATCTTTTAGGATTTGCTTTCCTTTAAAGTAGTAACCATAAAGACTTTATGTTGAATTCAATACCAATTATTAACCCGCATAAAACCCTTTTGAAGAAAAGATTATTGATTTCAGTTTTCTGTTTTACCATTCGTTTTATGCTATTCCATTATTATTATTATTATCTGTTTCCCCTTCTTCTATTTTACCCTCTTTAAGCACCAATCGCAACCAATAAATCTTTATTATTTTCATTATAAAATATTTTTCATTATTTCTTTTTTACGACCACTAAAACGGAAGCTGATTACTGTCAATATTTGTTTCAACTGTTTCCGTTTCCTTTAACCAGTGTTGGCGTCGCAGCCATTTTTCATTTGCTACACTCGCCGCCGTTTGCCCTAAGCGCCGCCAATGCCACAAACCTTGCATTTTGAATGAATTTAAAACAGAAAAATAATATAAAATAAAGTTAAAAAAAAATGGAGGAGCAATAAATTTGTTTCGTTTCAGTTTCTGTTTCTGTTACTTTTACTTTTGCTCTTGCTCTTGTTTTCATATCATTTTTGTATTTATATTCCATTTAGTTTTGTTTTTATTTGCTTCGTACACTTACGGAGCATTTACAGTCCACCAGCCAAGCAGTCAGCGAGTTCAAGTTCCTTTAAGTAGTGCGATACATTGCTCGCATCCTTAAATTTTCATTGAAATCCAAATCTGTAAGTACGCTCCGCCAACATTGGCAATTAGGGAATTGCATACATTTTTATTTTCAACTGTCACCAGTATTTTTCCCATTGTGTTTACTCTTACAATTGTTGCCATAATTCAGCATTTTCCACATTTACAGTGGAAAATCGGAAATTGATTTTTATGCACTTCCCTTTAGTTTGAACTGGATTTCTTCGTTATCGAACGTAGTGAATACAATATATATTGTTTATTCGTAATGTATTTTGCACAGCTTTAAATTTCAGTAACTAAACATTGGTTGATATTTGCTCCAAATATCTATACTAACCAAGAAAACATATCACAACGGAACATTATTTGCGCTTAAGTAAGCTTTAGTGTATAAGGTTAACACTCCAAACAAGAGCGTTACCGCTATTAAAAAATTAAAGAAAATACCATTTATATAAAATGGTATAAATGTTAATATAATCCATATAGAAATCAGATCCCTGTATTCCATATAGTAGCATCGAAACAATGCGTTTCAATCCATTCATGTTACAATCATATCTTTTGGACCTGTATACCGGTTCAGTTGACCAGCACATCTCTTAATATCTATTAAATACCATATACTTCAGCAATAGCAATAAATTTCGACATAGTTCAGATAGTATTATTTATATCCAATAAAAGATGTTTTAAAAAATATAAAAAGTGGTTTAATCATACGTAAGAGTGCTGTATTGATTACTAATTTCTAAATACATCAATCTTTTACCATTAGTATTGTAAGTCACTTCGATTCGTTATATGTATATGTAATAAGCTCTTTATAAGTATTTTAAAACAAATTACATGTAATGTTTCGTCAAGTTTCAGTAGATATTAAACCTATGAGTATGCTCAGGAAAATTCAAAGGCTTACATATACACCAAACTAATATGTGATACAAGTTAATAATTCAAATGGTTAATTTTTTATAATAAGACTAGCATTTATTTGCAATAAATTAATTTATTATAAGAAATAGTTAAACAGGAAAACATTTAAAATAATATAGATAAAAAATATAAAAAATTTTCTAACAAACTGACGTACATATATATTCAAAATATGATTTCTTAGTCCATTAAAGAAAGCACTTGTATTGAATTTGCTTAGCAAATGAGAGGTTAATATCTGTCTTTACGGTTACTGAACCATATGTTGTCATGAATTTATATTCGGTCTACCCTGTGGTATCTCCTGCAATTCATATCTACCAACTCTCGAAGAAAGGACACCAGAACACGTGTTATGTTTATGTCCATGCCTAGCCAGAACTAGGCTTAGGTTTTTGGGGGCGCCTTTTTTTCACACGTTCAGTGATGTCTCCAGTATTAGCATTGCCCAGAGTCTCGCCTTTATAAATATTTCTGACTGCTTCTAGTTCGACCTTCTTTTATCTACTATTCTAAGGAATTTTGGATTCAAAATGGCTATCGTAGCTAATTGTGGAGAATACATTAATCTCTCCACTTTAACGTACTAACTATATGCTTCGTTAAAGCCGATCTCTGAAATTTACTTTTTATGATGTATTAATCACCTCTTTATATAATATATTGAAGGTGGAAAAGAGCAAAGAATGAATTGAGAATAAAAATAAAATACGCAAAAAAAGGTCTGTTAAAACAGAAACAACAATAAATTAAAGTGTAATTAGATTTAAAATTACCATACAAAATCCCTATAAAAATACTTTCAATGTTAAAATGTAAGAGTAAATAATTCCAAATAAGCAATGCCTATTATTATCTTTAATGAAATATTGATCATTCATTATTCATTATTTTTCACTATTATATTACTTTAATTACACACCATTTATTAAGACATAAATGATCATAAGACATAAAATGAGGGTATAGAAGGTTCATCAAGTATTTCTTCCGATAAGCTATCTTTCCAGGTTATACTTTATGGACTATTTTTCCTAATTGCAAAACCCAGAGATAGTGTATACTAGTTAGTGTAGTCAGATAGTGTACTATCTGTATATGTTGTTTTTTAAAAGGCTGTAAATTCATATATATGTCATTCAATAATATTTCAAAATAATCTTGCAAATCTCCCTGTACTTATGGATATTGCTATCTGTATATAACTATAACTAGATTTTGTTCGCACTATTACTCGTATAATACAACGAAAAGTAATGTCTTATTTATATAGTAGGTATGTAAATAATTGCTTTTGAGAATCCATAAAGCTTTATTTAGAAATAATATATTTAATACTTGTTTTATTATTTCCATTTTAATTATTCTATTTTAATTTTATATATAATTTGTTTATTTTAATTTTCTTATTTTAAACAGCTGGTTCAGCTTTTTATATATGGTGGCAAGGTAAAATTTTAATTAAATTTTATTGAAGTTACCTTATAAACATTTATAATCCCTTCACTTATAAATTTTTATTTATATATTAATTTTTTTTTGGTTTTGTCTTATTTATAATTTATAGTTGCTTTGTATACTTTTGACCCACAAAAATCATTTAATTTTAATATACAATTTATATAAAACTATTTATATGCAAATTTTCTTATTGAGCATACGTTCCCAAAATTTTATCTTAATTTAGGTTAAATGCATTCTATATAAACTCTATTTATTCTAATATCCTTTTGGTAAAGTTCATCATGAAGTTCATACTAGAGACAATGCAGAGTACTTAAATATAATATTCAGTTTCTTCGATATGTAGCTTATATAAATTCCCTCAACAACCCTCACCACTTCCCCTCTGCACATACACTGCAGTTTGGCGTATCTTTCCACTTGAAATATTTATTTATAAGAGTACAAAATTTGATACTCGTATTAGATACGCAAAATATTTATTAAGTATTTATTTTTATTGTTGTTATTAAAGCTAATCAAAAATTCAATTATTTCTTCTCTTCCTCATGATATTGATTTTAACAAATTTTGTATTGTTTCTAATGCTGCGCTCATATAAAAATATTAATTGTAATAATGCTTCAAACATAATGCAAAACTAACAGTGCGTCCAAAAAGTAAGTAGACAGCGTAAGACTACTAACGAAAGCTTCAAGAAAACATAATAGAAAATTTATGTTTAATAAATATTAAATTAAATTTTGTGTAATATTTGCTTAAATTATATATGTATTTAATTTATGTATTAAATTTATGTATTTAATTTTTATGTATATATAGAGAAAATTAATATGCTATATTATGATGATGAACACATATACCCTTATACCACATACAAGTATATTGTTGTTATTAAATCTTT